TCCCCCCCTTGCTCCGGAATGGGGGAATGGCGGATGTCCCGGCAAGTAAGCTTGTTCCGCCGGGAGGAAAGGCTGCTGGCCTTCGAACGCCATGCCAACGGGTGCCTGAAAGGCGTGGGCGGGAAGGGGCAGCCCGGCCATCATCATCTGCCGTGAACAAGGCGCTCAGGTCGGGCCCCGGGACCGGGCCCTCCGATCCTCGCCCCCGACCTCCCGCGAGCACCCCCCTCAGCCCCCTCCCGCGGCCCCTCCTCTTGGCTGGCCTCTCCTGCCTTCGCCTTCCCTCCGGCCTCGTCCGCTCGATAGAAGGGCGCGGTCCTTGCATCCTCTGGGATCTGACCTGCCCCTTCCCCAGAGCCTGTCGGGGCCGGCGCCATCTCCCTGGCGGCCGACGCTTGAGGGGCGGCCGAGGGCCCGACCAAGGCGTCCAGGAAAGGAGGAGGGATCGGATTAGGGGGGTGCATGAAAAAGTGCCCGGGGGGAGGAGGGAGCATCCCCGTCATCCCCACCGCCCCCCCCCCCCCTCCCCGGGGGACCAAGAGACCTCGTGAGCCCTGGCACGTCCTGAGGGTGACTGCCTGGGCCCTCCGATGCATTTCCCAGACGCTGGAACCCCTGCAGTCCCGAATAGGGCATAGGGCCGCCGGCCAAGAAGGGGGGCATACCACCGTTGCCTAAGGCCATGGCCCGGCCCTCCGGGAACCCTGCTTGCGATGGGAAGCCAGGAGGCAGAGGGGCGTCGCTTCGAGCGGGGACAAAGGACGAGGGATAAGCGTGGGGTCCTAGGGGCACACCAGCAACGCCCATGCTTTCCAGATATCTACCTTCGTTCCTCTCCCCAGCATCCGACACAGAGGGCGGTATTCCTTGGTGGACTGTTTGGGGATCTGGTGGCTCGTGGGGCTGCGGCTTTTGCTCCTGCTCTCGGTGGCCCGTCTGGTGCGACGGCTGAGGATTGTGCACTTTTCCTGCATAATCTCCATCGCCACAGGATACTATCTCCAAGGAAGGGGATGGCACGTTTTGTACAGGCCCATCGCCAGATATCTTCTGTCCGGGATGCTCCTGCGGCGGGGAGAGGTGCTTCGAGACCCCTTCCTCTTCCAGCAATGCACGGGCCCGGCCCAGAAAATTTACTTGATTATTGTCACGCTGGTAGATATTTTGTGCCTCCAAAGCGGCGGGGTGCCCTTCTCTTACCAATTTCATTAAGGAAATGAGTACGTCCTGAGGGGACAACCCCGTAAGAGGAAGAAAGGCGATCTCAGAAATGGTGTCTGCCACATCCATGTACAGCCGTCTGAGACAGGGACAAGACGCCAGCAATATACGCACTTACACGCTTGTCAGATCATCATACTCTTCGGACGGGGGAGCAATGATACGCAAACCTCGTCCAATTTCCCTCATACTGGTGTGACTTGAAAGCACTATAGCATCAAAATGTCCTCACCTCATCTGATTTTCTGCTGCCGCCTCCGCCATCTCCACGCCGCCGATGGTGCATAGCAGGTATATCTGTCCTGATGCGCGGTCAGTGGCGTTAAAGTAAGTCTCGAGTGCCGGAAGGAAACGTTGGTCATCTTAGTATTGCAATCTTGGCGAGGGAGTGACTCGCCGCACCGACTCCCGTGATAACAGTGTCCAGACTGATTATGGCATAATTGCAGGCAACGGTCAGAGTGTTTGGTCCATGCCGTAGGTTGATGTCTATATTCATGGCTATATCCACGGCATGCATGCGTAGGACTCAGCGTCCAGGTAGCAGCATTGTGAGCTGCGACAGATCGTTCACCCCCGTGTTGCATCAAGCGACGCTTTCTCCTACTACTAGTAGGATTCTAACAACTCTTCGATCTGCCACACACACGCTCGGACACACGTCCCTTAGTCCCTCCTCCACTCATCATGAAGACGACGGATCTCCTTGCAGCCATCCAGCCCTACGTGGATATACTGGCAGACCGGTGGCCCGGATTAATCCTGTCTACGGTAGCTTGGTCAGTAGTGTTCGGCCTCGTCTGTGTCCTGCCGGCCATCTCGGGCACAAGCTTCGACTTTCGAAACCGGACCGTCTCCATCCTCCACGCCTTTCTTTCTGCTTACCTGACCCTGGTTCTGGTTCTGCTGGAGACTCCTTGCAAAATCGGGGGCCCGAACACCCGCAATCAGATCATTGTCCTGAACGTCAGCACGGGCTATTTCATCTACGACTACGTGGCCTGCACATTAAACGACGTCCGGAAGCGGCATTTCGATACCATGAACTTTTTCCACCACCTGGCTTCCCTGGCCGGCCTTTTGACGGGGCTCATAAACGAACGTTCCGGTGCCGAGCTCGGCATGTGCCTGTTCTTGATGGAGGTCTCCAACCCTTTCATGCACACCATCCACCTCTTCCGAGAGCTCGGTTACAATGACGCCCCTGTGGCCGAGGCGAACAAAGCCCTCTTCGCCATCATTTTTACTCTGGCCCGTGTTGTCGGCGGCCCTTTCCTGACCTACTATACCTTGGTCAGTCCACGTACCCACTGGGTGATCAAAGCCGGCGCCCTCGGCATCCTTGCCGTCTCCTTCCTATGGTTTTCCAAGATTGTGGCAATGCTGAGCAAGGCCTTCGGAGGGAGCGAGGGAAAGGATAAGGGGGGAGAGAAAAAAAGGGTAGATAGCAAAGCGGAGGGCTTCTCACCCCTCAGGAGGGCGGCCGCGTGGCGCGCATAAGAATGCGCTCTCACACGCCCTTGAGCAGTAAATTAAAAACAGTTTCCGGAGCCCTAGCATCACACTTTTCCATTTCCTTGCAAGCAAAGCGAAAGCGCCCTCGGGTCTTTCCTCCCTCTTAGCCCGGCCCTCATGCCGCCCCCCTTGCCGAGACCCCCCTCCTTTACATGTTTACTTCGCTCCCGCCCTCCCAACCTTTCTTTTCCACACCGCCACTTCCCAAAGAGGGGGAGGACAGATTGAACGGCTCACGCTCGTCCACGTGGGGCGGCGGGGCACCAGCATCCATGGACCGCGCCTGGCCCTCGAGTCCCTCGATGCTATTTACAGTGAGGGAAGGAGGGGAGGCGGGGGAGGAAGGCGAAGGCACGGGAGAGGCCGCGGGATTGGAGGAGCGAGAGATGCCGCTCGTGGCTCCACCGAGGCTCTTGACGAAACGGTTGAACTCAAAGGCGAGGCCCGGGGAGGAGGGAGGGGGAGGGCGCCCGCCCGGACCTCCCACTGCCCCCGGCGTGTCGAGGCCCTGGCGAGACGAGATGGAAGAGAAATGGGAAGGTGGGGAGGCGCCGGGATGAGAGGGGTGGGAGGCCGGCTGGGGGCCACTGGCAGGGGTAAGGGCGGAGGCCTGTGCGCGAGGGGCGGACCACCCGCCCCGGCTCCGGGCCTTGGACCCTGCGCGGTCAGAGGCTCCCCTCGACCTTGGCCCCGCGCTCCTTCGCCTTGCTCCGACTCGGGTCGAAGCGACGCCGGGCCTCGGTCTCGACGCTGGTGGATTGAAAGGCCCCTCCGCTTACCCCCCCCCCGTTTTGCCGGGCCCGTTCCCTCTCCTGCTGCCGCTGAATCTCCTGGTGGATCATCTGCGCTTGCCGCTGCTCGTCCCTGAGCCGCTGGGTGCGCTGCCAGTAGACCGCCTGCTCCTTCAAGCTCTCCTCCAGGCCCTTGGCCGAGGTTTGGAACTTCCGCCACCACCCGTTCAGGTTGGTGGACACCTGGTACTGCTGGTCCCACGCCTTGATCTTCTTCGACACCTGCATCTCCTTGTCCAGGCTCTCCAGCTTCTTGAAGCTCCGCTCGTACACCCTCCAGGCCTTCCAATTGAACTTGAGCTCGGACCAGGCGTAGGCCAACCGGTCGCAGGCGTAGAGCACCAGCTTCCCCAGGGCCCGGATACAGGCCCCGAAGTTCCCTTCCTTGTTGAAAAAATGCACGCCCAAAACAGCACCCCCTACACTGCCCAGGTACATTTGTCGGTTAAATAAGGCGCGGCCCACGAATAAGCCGAGCACGGCCCCGGCGAACGTGCAGCCTAACAACAGCTGCTCCCCGTCTGGAAGAATGTGGTTGAAAGCGCTGCTACCGGTGCCCGTTGCACCTTGCACGTTCCCCCCACGTTTTTTCCCCCCGCTTGCCCCACCACCGCCTGAACTAGCCGTCCGCCCCGTGATTCCCTCCAATTTCAAGAGCCGACTCTCCAGCTCCAGAAGGCGCAGTTCATATGCCAAGTTATCCCCGCTGGTCGTCGCGTTCACTCCAGCCCGCTCGGCAAAGAAGGACGAAAAGGATGAAAATACGGGTAAAGAGGAACGACGGGCAGAAAGCGTGGCGCAAGGATAGTTTGTCAGCGGTTGCAATAGAAGAGGTACGGGCCGTTGCGGGGTAATAGTCACCGTCCGCTGCCCGTGGCCCCGTCCTGGGGCAAGGGGGGATGTCACATAAGCCAGGCGACAACTATAACAGCAGCACAAGAGCGTCAGCCATGCCAAAAGGCTCCCCACGTGCATGGCCTAAGAATGCGGAAGGGAATGGATCGAGCAGAAGGGAGTTGATTGCTAGCTAAGTGGATGAACTCATAGTCTCGTTGCTTTAACAAGTGGAGGGCGGCTCTGCGTGCACTGACGGGCATGCGTGCTTCCACACGAGAAACGAGACGCTTCGAATTTTAGAAGCCCCAGGCGTGTGCAAGGCCTGGCAATCCTCGGCGGAGGCAAGGATCGAGTGCCCCGTTCGACTTGGCCACTGTGTGTCGGTTTGGTGACATGAACTTGAAATCGCCGAAGGGGGGGGGTAGGGGGGAAAACCCGGGTTCCGCTCTCTGTCCTGCCATTGCGTGTCTGACCCCCAATATCTATCAAGTACACAGACCTGGTCGACAGTGGGACGGTAACTCGTGCGCTCTGGGAGTCTTTGTGATGGTCGTGACTCAACAATGATGTTTCACAAGAACCTTTTCCACTGCCGGCACATCGTGGAACAGGTTCTGGTGTCAAGTCTTGGGCGTACATAGGGCACCAAAAATGTACTGTCGCCCGCTACGGTACATTTTAAGCCAGCATGCATTTGCCATACAGTCACAGAGGGGGCTGCGTAGGCTGAATTTATCAGCCGCAGGGATGCAACATGGTCACCGGGGCTCGAGGCCTGGGTGTGGACGCCGATTGCTTAGTCTACAACCTACACCGAACCCGCCTCAGTCACGCTCCACCGCCGAAGCTGTACCCGCCGATGACTCCGGCTCCATAGAGCTCTCAAGCACCGTGCCTTCGGAGCATGAGGGAGAGGGATTTGATGGCACGGCGTCGCAACGGACAGCATCGTCGGCTGCACCGCCGCAGTCTTGCGTCCTCCCTCCAACAGAGGCTTCTCACGGTGACTTTCCCGGCGCACCGCCCGAGGGGATTCCTTTCACCTCCTCGCTTCACGTGGTTGCCCCCGAAGAGCATGTAGTCTGGCCTGTATACCGGGTGCTCGAGACAGACGGCCGTGTGCGTTCCGGGGCTCTCGTTCCCGACCTTGACCAAGCTGTTGTCCGCCGCATGTACCACACGATGGTACGGCTGCAAGCCATGGACACCATTTTCTACAACGCGCAGCGGCAAGGTCGGATTTCCTTCTACATCACCTGCACGGGGGAGGAAGCCACACACGTGGGCAGTGCCGCCGCCCTCCGGCCTGAGGACCCGGTCTTGGCCCAGTACCGGGAGGGCGGGGTCTTGATGTGGCGCGGGTTCACCCTCGATCAGTTTGCGGACCAATGCTTCTCCAACCGGGACGACCTGGGGAAAGGCCGGCAGATGCCCATCCACTACGGCACGGCCGCCTTGCACTTCCAGACCATTTCTTCCCCCCTCGCCACCCAGATCCCCCACGCGGTGGGGGCGGCCTACGGGATCAAGCTCGAGGACGCTTCCAAGTCGGCGGAAGACAAACGCTGTGTCATCTGTTTCTTCGGGGAAGGGGCCGCGAGCGAGGGCGACTTCCACGCGGCCCTCAATTTCGCCGCCACCTTGCAAGCCCCCGTGTTGTTCTTCTGTCGCAACAACGGGTACGCCATCAGCACGCCCGTCAAGGAGCAATTTCGTGGGGATGGTGTCGTCTCCCGCGCCCCCGGCTATGGCATGCATGCCCTGAGGGTGGACGGGAACGACGTCTTGGCCGTGTATCATGCCTGTCAGGCGGCTCGGGAGGTGTGCGTCCGGGAGGGAAAGCCCGTGCTGGTGGAGGCCATGACCTATCGCGTGGGGCACCACTCGACCTCGGACGACTCCACGCGCTACCGGTCCTTGTCGGAAATTAAACAGTGGCACGGACAGGAGGATCCCCTCCGCCGGTTTCGGGCCTGGATGGAGGGGAAAGGGTGGTGGTCGGACGAAGACGAGGTCCAACTGCGAGACGAGGAGCGGATGGCGGTGCTGCGGGCTCTTGAGCGTGCGGAAGTGAAGCCAAAGCCGGGAATGGAGGCTTTGTTCGAAGATGTGTACCGGGAGAAGCCCTGGCATTTGCGCGAACAGGAGGCGGGACTGCGGGATCACGTTGAAAAGTACCCGGATGTGTACAAAGAGGGCACAGGGAAGGGGCACTGAGCGGGTTCCACGGTGGGGGAGGAAATGGGACGGGACGGATGGAGGGACAATGCCGAGAAATGTAGCATGGAGCTGTATCAACGCTTGGGTTGGACACAGTGGGAGGAGGGAGAATATTTCGAATGCGGTATGGATGCAAGGTGTGACGAAGGAGCGTTAAGAGGCAATAGCTGTCAAAGAGGGAAAGCCTCGGAGGGATTGGAGCCAGTATAGGTGGAATGTATCATGTGCATAATCAGCTTGTCGATAGTAGCATAGCGCAACCCTGTCCATAGGTGAGACAACGCTTGCTGTGACCAAAGAAATCGGGCATTGTCGTTGTCATTTTTCCAGCCTGCCGTGAGGTCCCTCCCACGCGCCTGGCAGAGGATTCGCTGCTCGTGGGCTGTGAAAAAAATTCCTTCCGTCCCCATCGTCAAGGAGCACATTCCTCACGCTAGACCCTCCGCGGCATACTCGAACCCTTTGTTTTTTCTCACCGTGCTCACATCATCGGGGCCTGTGCCTCCAGTATCGCATGCATGTATCCTCCTTTTCCCTGCTTTTCCGTGCTTCCCCCGCACGTCTTGTCGCACCCGTCCCCCCACATTTCCCTTCTGACGCTAGCATCGATTTTGCAATCTCTTTCTTCCTACTTCCTCCGTTGGCGCTTACGTATTCGTGAACGTGGGCTTCCTTTTCTCCACGAAGGCTGCCATTCCCTCTTTTTGGTCCTGGAGGGCGAAGAGGCTGTGGAAAATCCGCCGCTCGAACCGCAAACCCTCCGCCAAATTGAGTTCGAATGCCGCGTTCACAGTCTCCTTGGCGGCCGCCGCCACAGGCAAGGAAAAGGAGGCGATCTTGGTCGCCATTTCCAGGGCCACGTCGACGGTTTTCTCGGCGGGCACCACCTTAGACACGAGGCCATCTCTCTCCGCCTGCAGCGCATCTATCATTCCGCCTGTCAACACCAACTCCATCGCCTTGCTCTTCCCTATCGCCCGGACCAGGCGCTGCGTCCCTCCGCACCCAGGAATCACCCCCAGCGTGATCTCAGGTTGTCCAAATTTGGCGTTTTCTCCGGCGATGACGATGTCTGCCATCATCATCAGCTCACAACCCCCTCCTAGCGCATAACCATTCACAGCCGCCACGATAGGCTTGGTTACCCGGGCAATGTGACCCCATTCTGCAAACATGTTCGAGCTAAAGGCCTGCACGAATGACTTGTCCTTCATTTCCTTTATGTCCGCACCTGCAGCGAAAGCTTTCGTCGAGCCGGTCAGAACGATTGCACCGACAGTATCATCAGCCGCGATGGCCGTGGTGGCATCGATGAGGTCTTGGATGATGCCGTTGCACAGGGCATTCAAGGCCTTGGGCCGGTTCAGTGTCAGAAGGGCAACTTTGCCCTTCTTTTCCGCCAGTATGAAGTCGTATTCCTTTTCCCATTTCCCTGCCGGGGCCGTAGACATCAGCGACATTTGACAGTTTGTCCGCAGGCAGGGGATTGAGCTCGTCAAACCATACCTAACGGCAGGACGACAAAGGATGGAGCGGGCCAGCATACTGTGGGTAGATGTGTGCAAGGTGAAAAGAAAAAGAAATTGTATGAACAAGATACGACGAACAGGACTGGAAATGATGGCCGAGCAATAGGCGAGTACATCATACAACGCACCTCCTCTCCTTCTGATACGCACTCTCTTAAAGACATGGTGGCCTTGGACATGGCCGGCATGTTGCACCGAATATGTCATGCGTTCAGCGACGTCTCCCCATGCAGCAGTGCAGGAACAGCGAGGGCATTCAAACGGAATATTGAGCCATGTGCAATGCCCCTACCTCTTCTTGCCTTTTCCTCCTTCGCAAGGAGGCGGACATCAGGTCCCCACGAATCGGGGAGGTTTCAATTGTCTCGCCACGCTGGTTGGAAGTCTTTTTCCCCCTTGGTGTGCTGACGATTATAAAGTGTCCAGAGTAGCAGTAAAGCCGGCAGGCCTGGCCTTCGCCTGAGTTCCTAGCTCTCGCCCGTGGTCCTGGCCCCTCCCTTTCCCGGCGCCCCCCCTTCCTTATTGCCACTTTACTTAAAGGCGCTCTCACTGCAATCACGACACAGCAAGCCTTCCCTATCGAGCGTCATGGGCGATTCCACGGGTTCAAAAGATCGCCAACGCCCAACTTTGAGGTCGACATGCCCGCCTTTCATACCTTCAAGGATGTTCACGCAGTCCTCCTCCAATCCAACCTCCTCCCCGAGCCCGTCCACCGTGTCGTACAACTATCAAGGCCAAAACCAGCTTCAATCCGATTACAATCAGTTCTCAAACCAACATCACTATCAGTTCCACCAGTCAAATGGAGAAAGAGGCGAGCAGCGGCTTAATTTTCGCTATGCATCGCAATTCCAGCCTCATCCATTGCAACACACACCTTCCACATTTGTGGACGACTGTCACGACCCGTCGCCTGCCTTTAATCGGTCTGTCGTATGTTCGTCATTGCCCGTGAATGACTCTTCTTTCTGGGACCCCGCTTTGGTAGACTCTCTCAGGCATGCAATCGAAGCGCTCTTCTCATTGGAGAATTTGAAGACCAACTACACAATTGCCAAACACATGCGGAGTGGCTCGATTCCGGTCACAAAATTATTGTCCTTACCACAAATAAGGCAAGTATTGGAGAACGTTGGAGGCACATGCGGCCAGGAGCGCCTCCTGCTGGCCCAGGCTGTTGCGCACTCTAAGTCTGTGGCCACCTGTGAGAACGGGAAAAAAATTGGTCGCGTCGATCACTCCTCTGGGTGTGACCTGGCCTTTCGGTGCGTGGAAATCAGGAGCTTACCGGAAGGAAGTACTGAAGCTAGTGTACGTGCTCTTGTCGACCGATTCGGGGAGGTCACGCATGTCAAGTTGGGAGGGTTGGACGAAGAGGGAAAAGAGAAGGATGAGAAGCCTCCCTGTCAAGGAGAGCAGGCTCTCGTCGAATTCGCTGCGCCAGCCGGTGCACTTCAGTGTGTAGATACATTGAGTGGGACCAAGTCCAACTGGCGTTCGTCGGTGCGGGTGACCTTCTTGAACGGATTTTCGACGGGTCAGGTGGCCACCATGGCAGGGTTGGAAATTCTCCACGCAGCTCAGGAGGGAGGGGCGACGACGCTCAAGGGTCCCCAAAAAGAAAGCACAGGTAGTGGCGGCTCTTGCAGCGCGACAAGCGGCATCCCAGGGCCAGTGCCGACCACGAGGACAAGCACAGGTACCGGGGGTCCCGCCTCTACCCTGGCTGGTGCTTGCTTCCTGCCTCCTGTCCTCCCTGAAGGAGACCACACCGGACACATTGTTGAGCTCGAGGTGGATGCGGCCGGCAGAGGAGTACGAGGGGTCCTCAAACGGGAAGGCCAGAGACGAACGCTTGTCTCTTTTCAGTACTCGGATGCGGCACCGCTGGCCGTGGGCGAGCGGGTTGCGTTTTCTGTCAAGCATATTGACAGCAAGGCCGTCGTCCAGAATTTGGTGGTAGCTCCCCCCCTACCCTCCACCCCTCTCTCAACTCTCAACTCTGGTGCCAGGACCGGGGCGGCAAGGCCGTTGGGGGGAAGGGTTATCCCTAAGACCCGGAACGGGGGCATCATGGCCAGAGGTCCGTCGGGCTCGCACGGTTTCCACTACCCTCGAACGAGGCCTTCGGGGGAAGTGCTGGAGCTCCTGGACGCTCTGAAATTGAATGGAGCCCAGCAGAAGGAGGTAGCTAGTAAATAGGATTTCGGGCATGGAATAGGGGATGGAAGCGGCGTAAGGAAGACATGTGCGGACTTTTCAAAGCTTTTGCATGCATGCCTTTTGTGATATTAAAAAAATGATTCAAGCATATGAATAGGGCCTTTTTGCAAAAATTACGATGAAAGGCTGTAAGAAGGCCCGTCAAAGTATCCAGAAGGCCTCGACGATTTTATCGACGCGTGTACATAGGGAAAATGGAATATTGTGTATTTTCAAAGTGCTTACTTGTGAGTCCAGCATGGATTCGTACTCGTCGATAGAGAAACTTTTGAGACAGAAGAAAATAGGACCATAACGTGTTATTGTAAGACAAAACGCAAGAAACAACCTCGATGCAAGCGGGAAAGAAAGCGTCAAAGAAAAGGATGTCACAGCAATCGTCTCGCTCGCTCAATGGAGGATCGGGGGCAATGCCTTTCTCATGGTTTTTGATTCGATGTAAAGTTCCTCATTCCGAATTGATTCCCGGGCGAAAGGAGAAGCGGATGGCCACAGGATCGGAGACATCTTGTGGCAACATCGGGCTTCACGTCAGGCAACTCAGAGCATCCAGGTCGACATTCCTAGTAAAGCAAAGAAGCAGCGAAGAACGTTTTTGAGCCCAGGAGGCATTATCATGATTGTTTCGGGCTCAAACATGCTTTCAATACTTCTTGGCTCCCCTGTACTACATGAATACAGAGACATGCTCCTGCTAGCACCCTTCATCGAAACCCCAATCCTGTCAAATATGCAAACACAGAAAGTGGCTGACACCCCTCTCTTTCCGTTGGTTGATTCCGCGACACATCCGAGAGTCCTTTCTATCATCTCCCACCTTTTCCGCCGAGACCACCACCATCGTCATCATTCCCTTGCCAGGGATTGCACTTTCACCGCCCCATCCTCGCGTGCGCAAACCTGCTTTGCGCCTGTAACATCCCATTTCTGACCTGGTCCCCTACTTCCTCTTCTCCATTCTGCGCAAGGGCAGGTTTGTGCGGGATGAAGACAGTGTTGGTGGAGGGATTGTTACCCACCAGGTTCAGCATGTCGAAGTACTGGCGGGGAGAAAAAGAAAAAGGCCGATCAGAACAACGCTTCATGCAGAGGAACACACCGTAAAACAATACGGAGGGGGAAACTGTCGTATTTTAAACAGGACTGTCCCTGGTTGCACCTCGTTTTATCCTCTTTTCCCCCCTTTTACCCCTCTCTATTCGTCCCTCCCGTTCTATCCTCCCTACCTGCGTGAGAAGCATCAGGTCCATGACGTCCTTCGCCGTCGTCCCCGGCACATTGCCGCTGAATCCCAGGATGCTCTCGCGCAACCCATCCACAATCGCCTTGCGCTGCTTCGCCACCCCCACTCCTGACAGATATTTGCTCTCGGCGTTGGCCTCCGCGATCTTGACTTGGACGATCTTCTCCCCTTCCGCCCGCTCCCTGGCAGCTTCCTTCAGGCGTTTCGAGGCGTTGATCTCGTTCATGGCAGCCTTGACGCGCAAATCGGGTTCTAGATCCGTCACAAGGGCGTTCTATGGGAGGCATGCGAGGGAGGAGAAGTCAGGCAAGAGAAGGAGGGCGTGGGCAACGAGACCCTTGAGCGTCGGAGGTGACACGAACCGTCCCTTTCAGATGAACAAGGCATGCATGGCATAAGGAGAAGAGCGAGAAGCGCCATCGGGACGCTCACCAGTATCGAGTACCCATAGGTGCCCATGCACGTTTGCAGGGAGGCCTTGACGGCGTGCGCAATGTCGTCTTTGGCCTCGAAGGCTTCGTCGAGGAACATGCGGGGCAGGGTTGCCCGGACCACGTCGTAGACGTAGGCGCGAATTTGTTCCTGAGGAGGTAGTGCCCGAGGAAAAAAAGTGTGGAGGAAGGTTGGACATAACTTTGGGGGTAGTCGTTAAGGAGTTGGAGAAGAGAGGGGGAAAGGGAGGTGGAGGAAAGGGGCAGGGGATGGGGTGGACCAAAGGAAACTGCAACTCGGCAGATACGCCGGTATGGGGGCTTGACAGTCAGATAGAGATCGAGAAGAAAATCCATTGGCATAATTTTGGAACAGGGCTTACCTGCGGGTTCGTGAGGCGGTAGACAGCGTCGAAGACCTTCTCGCGAATGACCTTGTCAGGGGTGGGGAAGAGGGAAGAGAGCGTGTTGGTGGGACATTTTGAAGGCAGGTAGTGTGAGTAATGGAAAATGAGGTTGTACGTAGACAAAGCTATTGTAGTTCTTGCCATGGGTTCCCAGAAATATCCGTACGGCGCTGTAATTCTGGCAGAACCAAGCAAAAAATGATGCACGCCAGCCCCATACAGCATTGGAACTATACCTGATACTGGATGGAGATATACACCATCACAAAGACATTGTCTTTGGTTTTAGTCTCCGCCCGGATGTCTAGCTGCATGATGCGCAAGGATACTCGAGATTGCATGGCCTGCGGGCGAAAGGAAACAAGGACGACTTATCTCATGTGAACGTCGCACTATTTCGGGCACGCAAATGGAATAATACTTGCCAGGAAACCCAGCACAACATGACCATGCCCACATTAACCTATTATTTTTGCTCGTGCTTGGTCTGCGGCCCCTCTTCGCATGCTTTGTATTCCACAAGCTATCCATTCCCTCTTACCTCGAACGGCCAACACATGAGGGTGATACCTGGTAGCCCCAACCGATTGTACTTGCAGTTCCGCTCAACCACACCTACTTCGCCCGTGCTGACACAAGCACAGCAAAGACAAGACTCCCCCATGTTTTCTTGGAGTCAAAGTGCGGTAGAATATAGTGAGATGGGGCCCTCTTTCGCTTCGCTGATCTTCACAGAAGTCTAACCTCCGCGCTCCTGCCAATTGCAATACCTGGAAAAAAAATGCACGGTGAATGTCTCACTGAGTCGTACACGGCAAAATTATAAACGTTGGTATAAAATTCCCTTGATGAATTCAGGTGGGGGCACAAAAGAAACGAATGTGAGAAGGACTACGACCAAAGCCCGACTTCGGGGAATCGATTTAGCGACGACCCGACAACGAGCTATGCCGTGACATCTAGGAGTGTTCCCGGCGAAGCGTTTATAACAGGGAGTCAGAAATGCTTGATCTTTGCACGCTTCTTGCGTTATTTTCTTCTTGGCGTATGGGTCTTAGCGGTAAAATGTATTTTCGGCCACACAAACATGTCCTGTTCGAGAAGTACCACAGTAGGGGTCACGAGGGCGCTAGTACCACAGTCAGGAGGCGCGACACTAGTGCCTTAAGACACGACTTTTTGAGTCTAATAGACAAGCTGTCATGAGTTGAAGAAGAATGAAGACAAAGTGCAGTTGCGGATGGAAAGTGGAGTCATGTTTAGGACGGCCTGGTGCAAAATTACTTCATCGCAGCTGATGGGGGCTTTATTTGCATCTTCATTCTAGACAGAGAGACGTTGATCAGCCCTCATTCGTAAGAGCAGCTCTTCCAGCAGGTGTTGATGCGGGCTTTTGCGAGTTGTTGAATTCGCGAGCATTCCCGTCTATCTCTGATGTGTTTGCCCCTGTACCTTCTTCCGTAATTTGTTTATTTCTTTTGGGGGCATAAGTCCAACCATAAAGGAAGTGCTTCTGTATATATATATATATATATATATATGTCGAAGTGTGAAAGGATGTAAGTAGTGAGAAAGTGTGCCGAATCACTTTTAGTCACGTTGGTTATCAAAGCTACCTGTTCCACTCTAGTCTGTTTGAGTATACCTACACGAAACCGAAATGATCATAAGGCCCTGTCTTTCATTAAAAAACACGCTTTCAAAAATAGCGACACTCCTTCACACAATCAAGACCTCCGTAGTCCCTTTTTTTTTTCCACCCTATGTCCGTGGAGTGGCAAAGCTAGATGCTTGCTGTCCTGCCCAAGGGACCGGCTACGAACTGTGGACTTGAGACTATACTAGACGACAGACCAGCCCATCACGCCAAAACTCACCCCCTTCCACACTGAGCGACTCGACTACATCTTCAACTTTCCTTCGTTTGCTCACCTTGATCGTTTTCCGCTTGGACTGCCCCCGGCCAGAGGTCTGTTTGCCATCAGTTCCTTCATGGGACCCCTCTCGCTCTCTCCGAAGCTCAGCCCAGTACTCCTCCAAAACACCATCCGGAAGATTCTCGTCCAACTCAATCACCCGTTCTCCCGGCAGGGGTCGAAACATGTTGTCCTTCTCGTGACTTTTTTCCTCACTTTGCTGAGGCTTTTCGTCCGCTTCTTTCATGGCTGCCAGACGTTGCTTCATTTTCCAATTCCACACTGTATGAAGAGGGGTGTAAATCGCATATTGTCGACGCCTAAGTGTGGATAAACATGCAAAGTACTCTTCTTCCGTTGAACAGGCATCTACTGTTGCAGATGTTCTATCTGCCAGCTCGTTGTACAATACTTTACTGGATGGACCCCCAAAATATGCCTTATTTTCTAAACTCGTATTGGATGACTCACCATGGTTCCATTTCGTTGGCGTTCCACCCCCTAAAACCGACGCCGAGCTATGAAAGCCATAATTTTGAGATACAGGCAGGGTGTTCATGACTCCATCTACTTTTGGTATTAAAGGACGCTTTTTGCGAAGATTTGCGAGGCCATGTCTTCCGGCAGCGGTGCACGCCACCGAGCCGCGAGTCAAAGCGACAAGGAAAGTGCTCATGTAGTTCTCTCGCTCTCCTATGGGTAGAAGCAGAATTTTGTAGGAAGCAAGTAGAAATATTGGGTAAAGAGATCTTCCAGGGCAGCAAGTCATATGGCAGCTCATAGGTTCATATTATAGGCTTCTTGGTCCTAGGAAAGCCCGATCAACACAGCGACGAAGGCGGCACAGCACGGTGGCGCACAACGTTGCAAACAACCGACCTTCATGAGACGATTCTACACGCCGCTCTCTCGTCGTTTATGTGCTGCTAGGTGCCTGACACCCTCGCATGGTCATGCTCGTGTAGCCACCGCGAACTCGCTGAGTGACAGCTGCCGCTGATGGGACCCCGCGGACTGCGACATTGTTGATCCCGTGTACCGAAAAGAAGTCTCGGGGGCCCGCTTCACCAGCGCCAGCTTTGACAAAGGTCAACTTTAACCATTTCTTGCGTCCCAAGAGAACTCAAGCGATACAATAACATCATATTTGTGAGCAAAAGCAAGCTTTATCAACCTCCCCATACCTCTTACAAAAAGCAGTAGACTATTTCCGATTATTTTCATGAAGGAAAACGTGGGAATTTTACCCGTCACCTAACCTTTTAAGACTTATTTGGTTTTGTTGTCTCTCTTCAAGATATCTTCAAGGTTTATACAGGCGAATCATTTAGTATATTGTCCCACTACGATGTTTCGAAAGGTTTAAGTCGGCTTCAGGCCCGGCCTTGGTCGCCTAACTCTCAGCCATCATCCGTATCTCCATCCTCAGCATCGACACCGCTCCTCATGCCACTCTCGCTTTGATCGTTTTCATGGGAACTTTCCGAGGACGACACATCGGTACTGTCCTCAAGCACCCCTTCTAGCCCGCTCTCATCTCCGTCCTCGCTGCTCTCGTCCCCGCCGACCAAAAACCTTGCGTAATCCATCATCCAAGCCTGTCGAGAAGATTGCCCGTCACCACTTTCTTCTTCCCCTTCCAATCCATCCTCTGAATCTTCTTCTTCCGACCCGCTCCCCGCGCGCTCACCCGATACACTCGACAGCGCCCTCCCCATCATGAACCTTGTAAAATTCGAGATGCGCGCAGCTTTCTTGCGCTCCTTTTCATTCCGCTCGGCTAGTTTCTCTGCCATTTCCCCTCCATGAGCCTTCAACGCTCCTTTTCGCACACTCAACCCTCTGGTAGGTCGCCATATTTTCACGTCGTGCTCTAAACCGCTTGTCGCGAGTACGGGGAGGTTGGGGTGAGTCTCGAGGCAGTTTACCGCCCCCCGTCGGTCCCCGTACAGCAACTGCGCCAGCTCCCCGCTCTGAGTTTCCCACATGAATATGTGCCCCGTGTCGCACCCGGAGACAACGTACTCGCTTCGGGCGCCAAAGAAGTTCACCTGCTTCACTGTGTGGTCATTGCGGTGCCCTCGGAAGACCTGGGTATATCCTCGCAGCTTCTCCTCCAGTACATCTCCTCTCATCGTTTGCCGCGTCGATGTCTGTTGCCGCATCCGTTTTTGTGGGTTCGAATACGCCGCTGAACATGGATGCAGGGCAGGAGAGTCTCCCGCGCGCGGGGAGGCATCCTCCTGCCCGTCTTCCTCCGCCTCGCGTGGTCCCATATGGCTGGGACGCCGGTGCTCGGCCCTCTCCTCCCCATGATCAGAGACCAACCCATCTTGGCTGCTTTCCCAGGGCACCTGTTCTCCCCCCCCCTCCGCCCCGCCTCGGGCAGCATCGCGGTCTACCCGAAACAAGTAGACGCATTCGTCGTTGTACGTCGCCAGGACCTCTCTCCCGTTCCAATTGAAGGCCGTGCCCGTGATGTGGTCGCTGACGAGCTTCCTCGCCTTGCTTGCTCCATCCTTGTCGTCCCGCAAATGGAAGGGTGCGTACCGGCCCACCGGCTCACGCACATGCCGAGCGTCGTAGTGATGCATGTACACCGACGTGCCTCCCACCACGAAGGAATGACCGTCCACCGGGCTGCAGCTCAACGCGTAGAGTGGGATCACGTCGTCCTCAGGGGTGGTCACGGTCAGCAAGTGACGCTTATGTGCGTCGCGCGTGTCGAAGCCCAGGACGCGGCCGTCCTCCCCACAGGTCAAGAAGGAGGTCGTCTCCGTCACTGCCAACCGATGGGCTCGACCGTTGTGCCGAGCCAGTTGCTTGCTGATGCCTGACAAGGGTAGTGTCAAGACGATCCAAGGACAATGGAGCAGAGAGGAGGGTCGGGCAAGGGAGTTCCATCGAACTTGGCCGTCGGCAGCCACAGACACGACCTCAGTATTGTTAGTGTGAGGAAGGAAACGCGCGCAAAATATGTTGCCTTGGTGTCCACTGAGGTGCTTCATCCGACATTCATGCGCTGCTACATTCCATAGCATCAGATAAGTGTCGTCCGACCCGGTCACACAGAAGTCTCCGTGCTCGGAGAAAGCAACGGTATTCACGCACCCCCGGTGGCCCGTGAGACGGCCGTCGACTTTGAGCTTCCCCACCATGCTTGGAGCCGAACGAACGCGTCGGCAAGTGTTGTGATGGGTAATAATCCTGCTTTGCTGCCGTCCAAAAAGCACGTCGAATGTCAAATTTTGCTGCAATGCTCCTAATCGAGCCGATGGAGCGGTGCACGCTCTATATTTTGAGATGCAATCCGATGCCATGGGACGTTCCTCCGCAGTTCTATACACGGACCTCTGGGGGGAAAATGCAACGAAGGGTTGGCTCTTCGCAAGTCTTACAGAAGGCTTTCCGGTGCGTGGAGAGCCCGATTATCACTTTCGACCTCTACCACGCTTTTTTTCTCCCTGCTTCACTGCAATCCTGGTAGGGATTGCCTCAGGCACGACACTCACTGTGAGCAATCTGAGATTCCGGATGTTTCCCCTGTGCGTGTTTGTATAGAAGGAAGCTGTAAGTTGTCGAACATGTTTGTATTGCCATGGGAGTTCATCGTGTAGAGCACCATGGCAAGCAGGAAGTACTCCTGTAGTAGGAGGATCGAGCCTCCTCTGAGGAGACCCTCTCCTTCGTGGGCAGAGAGCGCAATTAATGCGCACTAAGGCTTGGAGGAAAGAATCACTCAGAAGCTGATCATGAATTCTATACGTGTCTTATTTCCGCATGTGGACTTATCTCACATTTCTGGACATTCCTCTATAATTTCTGCCTCGATCGTTTGTGTCGCTTTTTTCCAGCTTGCTTTTTCAACCGCTCGATTCAACAACTTTACCCCCCTACACCCCCCAAATTTCACTTTGGCACACATACTTTTTAAACGCACAGGCTATGAAAGACGAATCCAGCTCAAAAGCACAATCTCCTAAAAAATTAAAGCCAGGAAATTTGTCTCTTCATCCATTCGATCCTGCCCTGGTTATAAATTACACCATACTCGCCTCGAATGCTGCCACCGAAGTACAAAAAACACTGCCTCTTGACACAAGTTTGCTGACCAGCTACGATGATTGTATCCGCGTGGCAGTTCAGCTTGTTAACCATTATAAATTTATTCATGAGTCGCAGCAATCGAAGGTTGAGCAGCTCTTGTACCAACTTTTCCTACGAGACAACGACGATGCTACGACAAGGGTACTGCACGGCACAAGCCCTACATGTGGTGATGGTACTTTCCAAGCTACCATTGAAGAGCTGAATACTTATATAGTAATGTTATATGATGATAAGAAAAAGGCGCAGGGCACTGAAAACATCATGGAGCTAGCTAGGAACGTGATTAACCTCGAGGCTTTGCTACTGGATAACCCTACCGTACCGAGAGCTTTGGCTCGTGTCTTGATGGACGACGGCTCACAGCCCAAGAACGACGTCGTGATCTATAACATATTACGGATCTTCTGGATGGCTTCTAATTTTTATGAATTGCACGAAACTCTTGTAAAGGAGCACCGGGTGGGCTCTCTAACTATGCAAACATTGGCTTCCCTTGTGCCTGTACTTGCCAACGGAGCAAGCGTCAATATTGACCAAGATGGTCACTCAAGAAGGCGTTTTCCCATCCAATCTGAATTTAACATGAGAAATATCTGTCGTTCATTATTTGTGGGTCTCTGGCTATTGCTAAATCTTGCTAGGGGGTGACGCTTTAGTGGAAGAGAAAATGACAAAGAAGGGACTGATCAAAGAGTATTTAATGCCACTGTTGCACAGCGACGTGCAAGTTTTACACACTGATCTATACATCCTATGTTTAACTTTTCTTAAACGTTTAAGCGTTTACGAGGAAAATGTGCAGCAGATGGCTGAGGACCGTGTGGTCGCGAGACTAGTCAGCTGTGTATGGGCAGAGCTTCCGCAATCCAACCAGGGTACCGCAACAACATTTTTTGGCAGGAGCAGTGATGACATCGAGGTAAATCCTGCTCACGCTCGAGACAATGCAAAGGGGCGGATGACTGAAGCAGCACTAGGTATTTTGTACAATCTGGCTTTTGAACCACTGTTACGTCGGAGCATTGTGGGTTGTGGTTTGGTGCCAAAGCTCGTCATTTCTTTGAAAAGACGGAAACCCTGGCAAGATCAATGTATTAAACTTCTATACCTATTGTCATACGATGGCTTTGCAAGGTCGCAAATCTGCGAAATTAAAAGGGATGAAGAAGATCAATTGACGACACGGGACGCGATGTCTATTGTGAAGGAGCTCATTTTCCAATTCCCACTCCCCTCATTAACACTTGAGCTAGCAGCTCTAGCCATTAACTTGACATTAGATCATGCTAATGTCGAGATTTTATGTGCAAAAGCTGGTTTACGGCGGTTGATGGATCGTGTTATAAGGCATCGGGACCCTCTTGTGCTGAAAATAATCCGAAATGTAAGCCAGTGGTCTCTGGCTGTGCAAGCATCGCTTGCAGATCCTGAAAAGGAATACAACCTTCGTAATTTGTGGCCATCTCACATTAAGCCTCTTTTGGCCATGTTGCCAGCCTTGGCTGGGTCAGCTTCGAGCTCCGGGGGGCCGGCGCTGTCCTCGACTATATCCGGCTCGGTGATGCTGCCACCTCCAGGCTCCAGGCAGCCAACGGAGCCCTTAGTATTAGAGTTAATAGGAATTCTGGCCAATTTGACACCTTTGGATTTACCTGTCGGCATGCAATGGCATGACTTTAATTTGACTCCCTTGCAATCACAGGAACCGCAGCAAGAATCACCAAAAAGCTTGTTAGTGTACTGTAAGGAAGCGATGCTCGATTTACAGTCACATCGTGATAGATGTCCTGATCACAACAGAGTTACAGTTGAGGATTACGGAAATGAAAAATATGCAGTCGACATGCTGCTTCAAATTCTTTTACTGCTACAGACGCTCGCTTTGGACCCGGTATGCAGTGAGCAAATGAGCCAAGACGTTGAGTTTCTGAAGGCCATGCACTTAATATGGTGTAATACTGCTAGGATCGATAATGAACTCGCATTACAAGCTCTTGTGTTGATGTATCGCTTATATTACATGTCGTTTACATCGTCAGCATCGAGACGTGGTCTCCAATTTCATTCAGATGTCTTAGAAGCGCTGCAACATGCAAATGCTGAAATCCGGCAAGTTGCAGATAAATGTGTGGAACTCCTTTTCAAGAACGAGTCCTACGAGACAATCGGAAAGGTCTCAGAACCACCAAGCCGATCTCAAGAGTTGTTGCAATTGGGCAGGGCACGTTTCCAAGCGCAGAACCCCAGGTGGTGTAGAGATGTGGGCTTTGATGCGACTTAGGACACGCAGAAAAAGAAAATTAAAAATGAAAAATCTCATGGTTCTGTTGTTAAACACTTTCTATGACTGTGTAAGCGAAAACGCTGAGGCGTAAAAATCTCTTTACCTCTGGATCTTCTTCGATTATTTGGCGCGGGGAAAGCGACCCGGAAGAGGGCGATAAATAGTTCCTCCCTTAAATATTTATCACATGCATCATTTTCACATCGTTCAATCCGAGTCGCTCAATATGGAGGAATGCGATAATGCTCAAAGAACCATTTAAAGACTGATGCATCTCATAAGGCAATATTTCCACTCACTTTTCCAGACATGCCGGGAGGTAGAAACGCCTGGTCGGCGGCCCTAATTGTTGCAGTCAGTTGCATGTATCCTATGACGGAGTCATTTTTCTATTCTACCAGAGTGATGACAAGGAGTGCAACAATATCAATGCAGAGTGATGTTGTGGAAGGTGAGAGTCTTCGTTTCAATGTTTTTTTTAAACAGATGTCAAAGATTGACGCAAGAGCCGGTTTATCAACCTCTCTAGTGCCACTTCATGGCACCTACGGAACTTGACGAATTATACTATTTCTCAACATAGATAACGAGAACGTGGAAAACGGTGTGCCAAATTGCCGCAAACTTAAATTTATCGATCGGCAGGGACTTTTACAGCGTGTGACAGTAGCCACCACTGCCGGAATATTGGGTAGCAGTATCACGGGTGCTTTCCCGTCATGTCCAAATGCTGCAAATGCGATTGGCGAACTGCCAGAATGGGCGTCTAACCCGCGCTTCACGCAGCACCTTGTTATCAATGTCCCAGATATGGCTGCAGCCTTATCCTTCTACATGGATGGCCTGCAAATGCATGTACTGCGATCCCGACTTGTAGGGGGGCAAAATAGTACATTTGTTGGGTATGGACCTGAGACATTGAAAACGCCAAAGGCCTGGTATCCTGGTGTCTCTTCCTTTTCAATGTACGGGGCTCATTTCGTTCTGGAACTGAACGAGGTTCTCAAAACGGAAGAGGTGAGTAGGCGCGTTATTTCCCCGGGGGGGGGGGTTATTTTAATTTGAAGACGACGAGACTGAGCACAACCCAGAGTGCGGTCAAATCACAGACCATTCATGGCAAGACAATGAAATGGACAGATCACTCGTTTCAGACAAGTCCGTGCGTATGATGATCAAATCAATCCTTTCTCTTTCCCCTCTTATCGTCCTTCGCTCATCATTCAGGGTGACACCCCTGTGCTTGACCCTGGAAATGCCGTTGCCTACCTCCAGTTGGCCGTTCCCTCACTTCGTCTCTCTAAACTGGCGGAAGCAGGGGGCAAGATAAAATCTGCATACGGATGGGTCCTTGTGGACTCTCCCGGCGGGTTACGCCATCAAGTCATAGTCGGGATGCGGCGAGACCCCATCATGATGCTAGCCCTGAATGTCCCCGACGTGCAGAAAGCCTCTGGCTTTTATGTCAATGCCCTGGGTATGCGAGAACAGCCCTATCCGCTCTCACGAATCCCAGAGTCGATCTATGAGCCAAAGCAGCCGAAGGGCAGCCGATTTCTCGCTTTTAGTGAGGACGGCTTCGGGATATTGCTATTGCCTCTCCCCAAAAAAGAGGCCAAAGCCGGTGTCCGTCTTGGAGGGGTAGTGGATAAGCTGGCTATTCTTGGGACAGATGTAGTAGGGAAGGGAGGAGCAGAGGATTGGAAAGCAAGCGGGGTGGATGTGAGGTTTGCTGGGGAGGCGCCGGGCATAGGGACCAAAGTTGCGGTAACAAACGATCCGGTCACAGGCCTTGGGGTGGTTTTGGTCGAGGCCAACGATTTAGAGAAGGAATTGGTGGGAACCGTTTCGGCTGGTGAGTAAAATTCCGAAAAAGAGATCACGAGAAATTGCGGTGGGACACCATGCAGGCGTCGAACGCCTGCTTTCTGGTATACAACGTCATAAATCGCATTTTCCAGAAACTGAGAGGATCTAGGCAGAGGATGGGTGACAGAGAGTGAGGAGTCCTTTGAGAAGACTTATGTTTTCTATTGAACAATGATGGTCCTCAGGGACAAATTATGCGTTGGAAGTAGAGATACAAAATATCAATTTTCTGTCGAGTTTTCAGCAAATATTCCAATCGATTGTTATCTTCAATTACTTCTCATCTTTTATTAATTCTGCTCAGTTCAGATATTTGCATTTTACAGACGCTGGTACTACGTGGTGCAAAATCTCCATTCAAAATTCTGCTCATATGTTGTACACATGGCCCTCTCTTAAAATCTGTATGCACAGGAACATGCTGTCGTCTGCTCCACACAGCGGTCCCGTGTCGACATCCCCACAATTCCATCCTGTCCAGACCTCCCTCGTCCTGGTAAATTCGATTGACCTCGCCAGTGCTCTTTTACTGCACACATACTCGCACAATAATCTCATGTTTCTTGTTCGTGATCTCCTCTCTTGAGCGTCGATTCTTCTTTTGTATCCTTAAAACTTGTCCCATGGGGTGCTTCCGAAAAATCAATCAATCAAGCCCAGAAGTCCATCTTAAGTTACATGAATAAATGTAGAAATTTACATAGCAAGATGGCACACAGGCTTAAATTGCTCGCACAGACGACGGCAACAGGTCGAAGACCTCGCTCTGGGCATAGATCACCGGCATGCCCGCGTGGTACGCGCGCAGGTAGGCTCGGTTCCCAGACACTCCATCAAGCGGCTCAGGAGCCGTCCACGACACCTCTCGCACCTCGCCGGGGGCGATCCCGCCCGGCACCGTAGCGACAGTCACGCCCTTCTTCTCAGTGCCCTGGAAGAGCTCCACGACCACGTTTCCCTTCATCGCAAAGTTCTCCAA